AATAAATAAAAAATTTAAATTTAAACACTCTGTATCTCCGAAACGAAGCATATTTCGATCTACGTTTATATGAACTTTTTTTCACAGAACTACTTCGGCAACCACGCCCTAAAATATTTCGCACTTGTTTACAAACATCCTGTAATAATATACTATACACGGTGTTTTTTAAGTACTTGTACAAATTTTAAAAGGTCAATCTTTGACTAATTTTGAGATAAAAGTTCATATGAACATGGGTCGGCAACGGCTTGGTTCTTGAGATCGTCCAAAAAATGTTTTGTTTCAGCAGTTATTGTGTAAACTTATTTGTAGTAGTTTTTAGTTTTAGTCTTGTAAATGATCTAAGTTTGTCACAGCGCAATGCAATCAATAACAGACACATTTTTTTGTCCACTTTAACAGGAAATGTGCTTTAAAACATCTGCAAAAAAATGTATTCTTCCCAGGATAAAAAACCTTTTTTTCTTAGTTGCTAATAAAGGTAACATATTTTTTGTTAAAATAATAAGTCGTTGTAACTGAAATATCTGAATATACCACAGAATTTTCTATCGTGAACTGTTAACATCTGCCATAGAACCAAAGTTGAACAGTCATTAGGTCTGTTCCAACATGCAATTTGCATACGATTTAATAACGTACTTGTAATAATTGAAACTCAATTGAAACAGGGTTCAAATCGTCTTTGTTTTTTTACGACAGAACTTTAAGCCCTTAGGGAAACACAAATTGGAATCCAAAATGTCATAGAAATTATATTTTCTCTAAGAGATTTTGTTAGTTAAATTGTTAAATAGGAAATAGTACAAATATAAGATCACGCGCGAATATAAACAAGACAACAAAAGTTAGAACAAACCTACAGACTTCCGCTTAAAAAAAATTAGTTCAAAATGAAATTACCCTTGCGGTGGCAACGACGCGAGACTCTTAGCGGCCTCCTTGTCCAATTTGTCGAAAGTCGGCAACGTCGCTTTGCCCGCATTCTTTATGATCTCTGTGTCCGTGACACCGGGACACACCGCCATAACTTTCACCTTGCTCAAGTTGTGGAAATATTCGGAACCCATGGATTTGGTGAATCCGATGACGAACCACTTGGTGCCGCTGTACACCGGCATGCTGAAGAGCGGCTGCAGGCCCAGAATCGAGGACACGTTGATAATGTATCCACCTCTGCCTCCTTTGTGGGCGCCCATATGTTGGAAGCCCAGTATAGTTCCCAGGACGAGTCCAGTCTGTCAAAAAAAATAGAAATGTTAGGAAAGTTTTCCGTAGAGCATTACACAGTACGACTTTCTGAGAACCAAGTCATTCCTGCGACATTCTCATTAACAAAACACAACAAATAAGATAGAAATAGATAAATAAATAACAAAGAATAGGATAACTTTTGCTTAACAATTTTTTTTATGTTATTCAAAATATGTATATTAAGTCGCTCTACACTTCTGATAATTCAATAATTGATCACAAGAAAACAACAATTCTTGGGGTGTACGAGGATGATAAATTAACTAAATGTGTGATCTCCAGATATTTCCAATGCACGTTCTCTAATTGAATATTGTGAATATTATAAATGGGAAGCAATCAATAAATATTCTAGTTTTTAGCACACAAATACTGTATCTTTAGAATTACTCAAAATAAGACTAATAAGGAGTATGTTCATCAAACGAAATGTCTATCAATCAAACTGTATACTGCAGATGTGTGTAACTGTGATTGTGAATTCTAAATAGTCCAGGCGGTACTTGTTTCGTGTTGGGTAAAACGCATATGATCGGAGATTTTTGCTTTAACGGCTTTTAAATAACATCAGAAATGATAATATTTCTATGCAAATAAAAAAAAACGTGGGCTTAATTGTTATTGCAACTAAGTATAAAAAAATTGCAAAAAAAATCATTTTTTTCTTGGATTTCTCGTCGACAACTTAGCAACTATTCGTTTTAGACAAATATGGAAGCGGAAAAAAGTTTTGCAATTAAATTTTGATCAAGATAGAGTTAGTTGCAATTCGAAAAAATAATTATTGTTGTTGCAAAAATCGGAAAAATCATTTAAAAAATTGCAAAAAATGCTAGTTTATTTGTAAATTTTTTTCAGACACTTGAATAATACCTAGGATCTTCATACTTTTTCCAATTAAACTTCTTAGTGCATAGAATCATCACACCAAATTTCATCCAATTCGGTTCGATAGTTTTTACATAATAATTGTTTAATTTTTTTTATTTTTTTTAAATTAAAAAATTTTCAAAATCAAATTTCTAAAAATCTAAAGCCTTTGAATACTTGAAAATTTCACCACAAAAAGAAGAGCTCTCAAGCTTTAAAATGCTTTTTGAAAAATTCAAATCGGACGATTAGGTGAGCCGTGGTGATTGTTTAAACATTTTCGCAATTTTCACGCTTATAAACAATTGCAATAATTTAATGTTTTTTTAAATTTTTTTTTAATTTTAAAATATGGTTTGAAAGTACTCGGAAAGACGAGTATTTAAAAAAAAACTGATGATCCGCCCATTATTTTCGGAGTTATAGCCCGTTAAAGTTAACCCTTATTTACAGCAAAACTATAAGGGTATAAGGGCTGTTTTTTGAACTAATAGGTTTGTCATTCCGAGTACTTTCCAGATATAAATTTTCAAAATTTGCAATCACGGGCGTCCCATTTAAAATGTCACTCAAAGATATTCAAGACCGCGTGAAATCAATGAGGTATCAGTGGTGGGGGGAGCAAACACACAGCTACTCCGATCTGAATTCTCGAGTTCAAAACTGCGACACTCGGAAAAATTTCACTTATCTCAGCGTCTAATGGACCAATTTCGATGATTTTTTTTTAAATCGATGTCTCGCAACTAAAAAATTCAATTATCATATTTTCAACTACATTTTATTATTAATTATTGGACTTTTGACATGCCGATAAACAGTTACTTTAAAAAATGATTAATTTATTATGTTTATTTATTTACTATGTTAATATTCACGACCAAAATTTTTGCATGTTGCACCAGGTAATACTAGTAAGTTTGTTTAAATATTATAAAATTGTTTAAACAATAATTATTTAAATAAACAACTGAAAATTGGTATTAATTTTTAGTTGTACGATAAATTTCTAAAAATCTTTCAAAAAAAATAAATTGTGAATAATTATAATTTTAATTTTTTCGTTTACTTTTAAAATATTTATCTAAAATTTATTTTTTATTTATAAAAAAAAGTATAAGAATCTTTTGGAAACTTAATTAATACCAACAACATGGTGCAACATGCAAAAATTTTGGTCGTGAAAATTAACATAGTAAATAAATAAACATAATAAATTAATCATTTTTTAAAGTAACTGTTTATCGGCATGTCAAAAGTCCAATAATTAATAATAAAATGTAGTTGAAAATATGATAATTGAATTTTTTAGTTGCGAGACATCGATTTAAAAAAAAATCATCGAAATTGGTCCATTAGACGCTGAGATAAGTGAAATTTTTCCGAGTGTCGCAATTTTGAACTCGAGAATTCAGATCGGAGTAGCTGTGTGTTTGCTCCCCCCACCACTGATACCTCATTGATTTCACGCGGTCTTGAATATCTTTGAGTGACATTTTAAATGGGACGCCCGTGATTGCAAATTTTGAAAATTTATATCTGGAAAGTACTCGGAATAACAAACCTATTGGTTCAAAAAACAGCCCTTATAGTTTTGCTGTAAATAAGGGTTAACTTTAACGGGCTATAACTCCGAAAATAATGGGCGGATCATCAGGTTTTTTTTTAAATACTCGCCTTTCCGAGTACTTTCAAACCATATTTTAAAATAAAAAAAAATTTGAAAAAACATTAAATTATTGCAATTGTTTATAAGCGTGAAAATTGCGAAAATGTTTAAACAATCACCACGGCTCACCTAATCGTCCGATTTGAATTTTTCAAAAAGCATTTTAAAGCTTGAGAGCTCTTCTTTTTGTGGTGAAATTTTCAAGTATTCAAAGGCTTTAGATTTTTAGAAATTTGATTTTGAAAATTCTTTAATTTAAAAAAAATAAAAAAAATTAAACAATTATTATGTAAAAACTATCGAACCGAATTGGATGAAATTTGGTGTGATGATTCTATGCACTAAGAAGTTTAATTGGGAAAAGTATGAAGATCCTAGGTATTATTCAAGTGTCTGAAAAAAATTGACAAATAAACTAGCATTTTTTGCAATTTTTTAAATGATTTTTCCGATTTTTGCAACAACAATAATTATTTTTTCGAATTGCAACTAACTCTATCTTGATCAAAATTTAATTACAAAACTTTTTTTCCTCTTCCATTTTTGTCTAAAATGAACAATTGCTAAGTTGTCGACGAGAAATCCAAGAAAAAAATGATTTTTTTTGTTATTTTTTTATACTTTTTTGTAATAACAATTAAGCTCACGTTTTTTTTATTTGCATAGAAAAATTATCATTTCTGATGTTATTTAGAAGCCGTTAAAGCAAAAATCTCCGATCGTATGCGTTTTACCCAAGTACACCCTTTGTAAGACAGATACCGCCTGGACTAAAATGCCCGTAATCCAAATACATTGAAGTTTACTTTCATTATCTTCTTGTGTTGACGGCTTCTCAACGACAATTAAATATAGGCCAGTCAATAGTGCCATCATATAAAAGACAGTCTGTAGATATATGCTTATATGTTTCCTACTCCAATTTACTATTAATTAATAAGAGTATGTTATAAACATGTATATACAAAAAACGCATTTATTTAGTTTTTTGCTTATAAAACCTAAACTAACGAAGCAATCTAAATGCTATAAGGAGACAATTTGTAGAGAATCGAAATACGAATAAAACGAGAGGTCGATCGATCCGATCGGATAATTAGAAACAAAGAAAACCGACCTTCCCCCACTACTCGAGAGTACGCGCGGTCGGGCGTTTTTGAGCATGTTTGGGGGAATTTTTCACCTATTTCACACCATTCTATCGGAAAATTAGAATATATGTTTTGTAGTGTTATACTTTTACTTTTAAAATCTGGCTGAAAAAAATAAAATCGGACCACCTCCAACGCATCCAGAAATAGTCCACAAAAATTCAAATTGCAATTGTGCCAAAACTAATGGTCCGACAGCGCCTGATTTGTGCACACTTAAACTACATATAATTTGCTAGTTTTCTACACAGGGTCAGCTATACAACTTAAAAATGACTGAGTAACGAATTTAAAAGAAAACGCTAAATTTTCCGATTTTTCCGAATGTTCTTCGTTTCTAATTATCCGATCGGATCGATCGACCTCTCGTTTTATTTGTATTTCGATTCTCTATAAATTGTCTCTTTATAGCATTTATATTGCTTCGTTAGTTTAGGTTTTATAAGCAAAAAAACTGGAAAAAATGCGTTTTTGTTTAAAAATGTTTATAAAATATTAATTAATAGTAAATTGGAGTAAGAAACATATATGCATACATCTACACAAACTGTCTTTCATATGATGGCACAGTCCGTTTGCTACTAGTATTTTTGTCACAAACAAAACCTCTATTGATTGGTCTAATAAGGTACTTGCACCAATTAAGTTTTGAATAAATAGTTTTAGGTATACTGTGTGAAAAATAAGTTAACAGCTTCTACCGACCGAAATGAGGTCACTGTCCACATTTTATATTTTAAATTTAAGACAGCTGCAAATTATAAGGTAATATTTATATAACCACATTTATTTTCACCCATAATATATTATTTAAATTGTCTTCCTTATGCAATTCAACACATCCCTCATGAGAATATTGTAAGCACATCTTCTTCACGAACAAAACAATATTGATTTTCTTTAGTCTGCAATTTCTTATTTTATTTAATATCAAACTTCTTTGATATAACGAGCGTATTAAACTAACCTCCACATGTGGTTTTAATAGAAGCGCGTAATTTCTGGGTTAGTAACCATATAATTGGTTTAAATTTCTCAACGTCGAAAGAGATATTGTTTTCTTCTTTAAATGGAGAAATTCCGAAACTGGAGATGAGCCACCTAGTCTATAATTTGCTGTGTGTTGTGTGTTCTGGCGTTTGGATGCACTGTCTGAAGCTCCTGACCTGTGACTTTTCAGTCCTTGATTTGTAACGTCCTCATCTCGGTTGACATTATCTAATTTCTCTGTCGCAGTCTTAGCTACCACCTCCCTCTAATTGTAATTCCGGTAATTACCTAGGTTTATCAAATGCCATATACTCCGGAACTATGTCTCTGTGTTCAACATAAACTTTGTTTCAACTATAAAGGATGTTGCTCTGTGTCCCGAAATCTTGTAATATGGACCGTTCTTACAACTCATCTTTGGAATGGATATTCTTATCTTCTATTGGATATATTTCTGTTACTACATCTATTTTCTCTTGAGAGCTGTTTTACAGGGTTGGGAATAAAGAGGGTTCATCTAATGAACATTTTTGAGGTCTGGTAAATTCTCATCCTTGTTTTCTGCAATGTGCCCTCGATACATTTCCCAAACTTCTTTCATTCATTTATTTTCGTAAACATTACGCAGAATCTCGTTCGGATATCGTCTGGATTTAGTTCTACTTCCTTGATAATTTTCTGTTAAACATCATTTCATATAGCGCTTCAGTCATGTTTCCCTGGCGGAAATAAGAACAAGCAGCTTCTCGGACTTATTTTATTCAACACCAAAATACGTCAATTAACGTTTGCAGTAACTGACGCTCCGTACTTATGAAACACGTAAATTGTTTTCGGTAGGAATATTGGGTTAATTGAATATTCCAAAAGATTCTCTTTGAAATGGCGCTGTTTTGGCCTTATTAAAAAATGGTCTAGCTGGTACAGGTACCTTATGGTTAACAGTTACATAATTATTTCATTAATATTTGTACTCACCGTATTGATATTGATCACCTTATCCCACTCTGATTCAGCAACGCCAGCATTATTAACAACAATGTCGAGTTTTCCAAATTTTTCCGCGGTGCATTTAAATATTTCTAAAAATAACAAAACTCGTATGTATTTGTAACGTAGTGTGTAGTCCTTGTATTGCAACTCGTGTTCACACAAAAACGTTCCACTTTCAACAATAATTATTCAAAACTATGTAAAGGAAATTTTGACAGATTAACACAATGAGAAACAAATGCAAATTTTAAATTGATATTGAGACTTGCAACAAACAAACGCTTCTTACTTTCCATTTCCTCCTTTTTGGTGACGTCGCAAGGTTGAAACAGAGCCCTGTTTTCTCCATACTTCTCATTAAGCCTACAGGTAGCCTCTTCTAGGTCATCAACCAGAATATCCCCTAATACGACAGCCTAGAAATATTGTACGTATTACCTATTTTTTTCCCTGTATGTATAGGATTACTTACTTTTGCACCAGCTTCTAGTAGGCTGTCAGAAATGTGGTAACCAATACCGCGCGCTCCTCCAGTCACGAGTGCCACCTTACATTGGGCTGGTTTCGTATTTTCACTGTAATCTCTCTTCAGAAGTGGTGTGCTATGAAAAGCCTTATTTTAGTTTGAAAAATATTAGATTGCCCAGTAATTTTCTTAGTAAGATCAGGTCAGTATACGCGGTGCCCAGAACTGATGGCTGGCGCTAATTACAGGAAATTCATTCTCGGTTTAGCGCGTCATCAAAATTTGTTCATAATTGAATTAATTTCAATTATTTTTTAAGTTAGGTGAAACCTTCAACAACTTTCGTTAAAATAGTTATTTCGATATATCTTTCCTTTGAAAAGATACATAGCGATATTCATAACGAAACTACTGATTTTGTTAGCATTGCCGGGAAAAATAAGATACTTGCAATGATATGTGACATTACTGACTTGTTTTAATTATTTTAAGCAGGTACGGTCTTAATTTTTGAGAAAGCTCGGAAAGATTAGATTTTAGCAGTACGTCTTTATAGGAACAAAAAAATATTAATAACGAATATAAGCATCATTGGTTTTATAAACTTTGGTATCAGAGAAATCGGAGTAAGGGCTGATCGACGGCGTCAGATCTGACAAATTACGCTTTTATTAATCTTCAAGTAACAAATTACCTCTTAGATCAGGGCGGATCTGTTTTGAGGTGGATGTGAGAGGGCGGAAGCAATTTTTTTCTGGATTACCTTCAACACAACTCACATAATAAAAGTGTAGATCTCTAGATCTGGGCGAGGTCCGGAACATTTTCAAAATTGCAAAAATTGTTTAAATTTTTTTTTAAAATATCTACGTGGGATTTTTCGACAGATCCGCCCTGGTCTATGTAAGGAGATATCGAAAAATGGATTTAATGAAAGAAAAATATTGAGAAAATTAAGAACCTTCGTATGATGTAGAGATACATGTGTGAAATTGTGGGCGAAATTTTCATGACGTCGCAATATACCAAGATGGAATTTAAAGTCAAATATCCCGTCTTTCTGTAACTGTAACCAACAATATTTTTGATGGAATCAAACATTCGTAAAAAGTTTTTCCCTTGAAACTTCTTGGTCTTAGTTCCAACCTGCTTCACCCCGTAACTTTTTTATAAATGAAAATAATTTGAATTGTATGCCATATTGTGAATTAATTAAAGATTTTAAAGCAAGTGATAACTTCCTTGTTTATTACTTTAGCTGGTACCTTTTTTTGAGCCATAGAGCTTCAATGGTGATAATGACGTGCTTGTCAACGCAACAAACAGTTTATTTGCAGGGATGTTTTGAATGTAATTTATTACGCAGTAGTATCAATTGCAAAAAATAAACAATTTCGTCAAAAACTGATAAGAATATCAACATAATTATGTTCCTTCAAATTTTAAGTTTTGGTTTTTAAGAATCAAATAAACAATTTCTGTAGAATAATTAGGCTCAAAAGGTTCGATTGGTTCAAATCTGGAAAACATATAGGCCATACGATAGGATGATCTATATGAATATTGTTCATCTAGTCACTGAAGTTGAAACTGTAATTCCTCTTTTGGATCCCCATCACCCAAAATTACTTACTGTAATAAACAAAGTCTAAGAACTCAGATTAGGGCATACAATTAGTTATGTACAACGATATAACTGTCACAGGGTGAAACATTTCGAAATTTCTTATATCTACACTACTGAATTATTTTTTAGTCGAAATACTTTATCAAAACATGCAGTCAAGTCGACTAATTTAATTTTTTTAACTCCTGTAACTGCTGAATCGTTAATAATTAGATAAAAGTTTATACCTATGCAAACTTGCAGTCTATCTTATCCTGATTTTTTTTTAACTACACTGTGAATCACCTTGTACCTATATAAAATTATTAAAACAAATAACAAATGATATCTACTGAAATTGTTCAGGTACCAAAGTGAAAATCTCGTTGCTATATTAAAATATTGAATATTTAATTGTTAAATAATTTTATATTTATAAAAGGTGTTTCAAAACATGTATCGGAAATGAAGGGCGTGATTCTTTGGCTTATTCTAAGAAAAAAAGTTCTTATTAACATGGATCCGCAAACTCACCGTTTTCGAGATATAGGGTGTCAAAGAAATATATACAGTGTAGGAAAGTACCGATGGTCTATCAGAAGTTACGTGAGAGCGATAAAGTAAGCCATAGAAATCCATGTGATAGACAAGGATGGCTATAATGAAGGCGTCTAATAGTCAACGCCCATTTCGCCCTTCCACAAATAAGAAGTGGATCTTATTTTGTGGAAGGGCGAAACGGGCGGTGATTATGAGAGGCCTTCATTATAGCCATCCTTCTCTATCGCATGGATTTCTATGGCTTACTTTATCGCTCTCACGTAACTTCAGACAGACCATCGGTACTTTCCTACCCTGTATTTTTTTCAGTTTTTTGACGATAATTCCGTTTGAGACACCGTATTCAAATTTTGTACGCGTATGTCATTAATATTAGCTACTTTTGAGCGCTAATTTAATTCTTATGCATATGACAGTGGCGGAGATTTTAAGATTACGTGAGGTTCTTTTGCCCTCAATTTTTACGACTCTGGGAAAATTGGTATTTTGAAGGCATATTCTATGTGGCCAACATAAAAAGGTACTCATCATCATTTTCAAGTTTCATTTATCTCGGAAACGGTTCACGTTAGAGCTTTTGATGATTAGTACCTTTTTGTGTAGAAAACATTGGCGTTTTAAAATATGCTTAGAGCTCAAAAGTATCTAATATTAATGATAATACGTCTATAAAATTTAAGTTCTGTGTCTCAAACGGTTCCTGAATTATCGTAAAAAAAAACAAAAAAAAATATTTTTTTTGACACCCTATATCTTGCGGACCCATGACTTTTTTTCTTAGAATGAGCCAAAGAATTACATCCTTCATTTTCCGACATGTTTTGAAACACCCTGTATAGTAATGTTTGCCTTAAATCTTCAGTCGTAGAAAGAAAAGTTAAAGTAAGGAAAAATTTACCTGGTACATACTGCTGCATTTGAAAAGCACCTGTAGACACTGGCGGCAAATTCATTGGCACGCCTAAAATTTGTGGATAAAGCCATTTCACAAAAATTTTTAGATATTACATTAACAATTTTGAATTTTATGTCAGCGTTGACAAATTTTTGTTGAAATCGTGATTTTCATTTACATAATTTGTTTCACTAGTAAACTTGATTTAAATATGTGGTTGTGACAATCTTTTGACATGACAGTTATCTGACGTGGCGATTTTCTCACAAAATTTTTATACTCTGCAAAAAATTATCAATACGAATTTTAAGATTTTAAAAGACTTGTACTCATCAGAATGATAGGTGATATATGATAAAATATATACAATTTCTCAACAAATTTTATTAAATAAAACCATTATTTGAAACAGTATCAACGTAGCAAAATTAATACATATATAAAAAGTATATATACCTCTTTGTTGAACATTGATACAAACTTGTGTGTAATATGCATTTTTATACTTCTTTAAATATAAAAATAGATTGCTACAAATCTACCCCTATGTCAGAACATACAAAGCAAAATTTCACAGAAAAATTACTTTGACCAATTACTCCAGTCGGCAGAGGCCGAAAAGTTACTGTTGGTGACATTTTCTTGATAACTCGGAAATAACTACACAGGAATACTTTAAATGAGGAGTACAATAACAGGCTAATTTGCTGACAAAGTATCTTATCAGGAAAAAAAGTTATTAACAATTTAATCGCGAAAAAATTTTCTTTAGTAGTTTTCTTTAAATAACTCAGCGGGATGACTTTGTACGAAAAAATGATAAGTTAAAGGTTTACCCCACACGTACGATTTTGTTTTATGTTGATATGTTGAATAATGTACGACTATGGCTAACAGGCGCAAAATGTTAAGTAGCTTAGGATCTAAACGATGAAAATAAATATTTTTTTAAATTGTAGGTAATTATGCTGGCTAATCTACCGTAATGGAATATTTTATAAATATACATAAATATACGTCCAAAAATTAAAAAAACGGTGACGTATAAAACTAGGGTGACGTATAAAACCTTACCAAAACTGCAAAAATGAAGATACTTGAATTTTGCAAATTGCTTTTGGTTTCTGCATATTTACACTATGTGTGTACCAAATTTCAAGTGTCAGCAAAGCTTCGAACAAATTTGGCAAAGTTTCGAGTTTCAGATGCCGATGAATGTATAACACCTTATAGAACAAAAAGTTTTGCTCTCCTGATTTTCGGCTTTAGCGTCATTATTGTATATATATTGAACTATAGTTTTCGAAAGTTTTATCACTTTTTGTTTATAATTGACATTTTTACAGCAACTTAAAAAAATTGACGTTTTATACCGTTTTTTCAATCTCACGGCTTTGTTATTGCAAATTTCGTAATCGGACCACCGCCATTTTGTAGCTATTTTTATTACGAACAAAATCATGTCCTAAGCATTTTTTCGTACAAAGTCATCCCGCTGAGTTATGTAAAGAAAACTACTAAAAAAAATTTTTTTCACGATTAAATTCTTAATAACTTTTTTTCCTGAAAAAATACTTTGTCAGCAAATTAGTCTGTTATTGTACTCATCATTTAAAGTAGACCTGTGTAGTTATTTCCGGGTTATCAAGGCTTGACACACGCTGAAGCTCTACCAACTGGACTAAATATCAAACAGGCAGATCATAAGTACATAAATAATTTAAAAATTTAGGGTGGTACATAGTTCACTTTTTGCGGAGGGTTTGTCTTTCTGGAATTGCCACTTCATATATTGGTTCTCCACCTTCTGATACCCAAACACTGCCGTTTTCGCCCTTAGTAATCAGGGTGATTAGGCCCTTTGCAACATTTTCTGGCCTGAAAAGAAGAGCAGTGTATAATATATGTTCAATTAAACAATGAATGATTAACTAATTATATTATCACTTCTAGTATGGATAAGTTCAGAAAATAACCGCCATTATTCCATGGCTAGAAATTGGCCTCAATGATTTGGGATCGAGGGGGATTATCCCTCTTTATCCTGCCTCATCTCGTGTAGGCCTGGACAGCCTTCGTAGGTGGGCCCCATCCGTCGTCTACCCCGACCGCAAATGCGGCCGGTGTAGGCGCTTTGTGGGACCTCCTTTTGTCCTGGCTGGGCCCCGCCGGCTAGGGCCCTTGAAAATAACCGAACTTTTTTAATAACACGCTAATGTAGATATTTAGTGGTAAGCGGTTGGCAGCATTGCATTCCGTCTAACTTCCTCTGTAACCACATGTTCTTGAATTGTTGATATCTCATTTAGTTTTCGTGACATTGTTATTTGAGTCAACGTGTTTAAGTGTTAGTGACTATTTTTGAAATGCGCGATTTTATGGAACAATGATGCAGCGTAAAACTTGGAAAAACTTTCACGGCAACGTTTCAATTTTTGAAACAAGGTTACGGAGATGATGCTTTGGGTTGTACGTTGTTGCGAATGGTTTTCACGATTTGTAAGTGGTCGTCAGTCAGACTACCTGTAAATTTGAGATCTTAATATTAACAAACAAAGGCCACAATGATTTTTTGAAAAAAAAAAATCTCAGCTCCAGAGCATCGTAGAGCAATGAGTAAAAGCTCAAAATTTGCATAAAAATCGTAGGAATTAAATAATCGATGTGAAAATTTTATGTGAAAAAAATTTACCACTTAACTTTAACTTTAATATTAAAAAGGCTTGATTTTCAACTTAATGTTTAAACAATTTACAGTTCAATAAACAACTTTTCCTTTATTGTACGTTGTAGTACAATAATTCTTCACGAGTGAAATAAGTCTCTAAGAAAACTAATAAATATTTTGATCTAAATTTTAAACCACTTATTAAGTATACATTGAACTACAAAAAAGTTATAGTACGATTTTTTAGAAGCAAAACTAATTGAGTTATATAAAATTGAAGAAAACACTAAAATTGGCTGTTTTTTGAGTTTTGCAAGAAAACTAATTAACGAATTTTGATCCAGCTCATTTTGTAGATATTTTTAATATTTTTTCAATACCTATAAAAAGTATTAAACTTTTTTTCAGTAGCAGCAACTTTGAAAAGTTGAACACAAAAAACCGGTTTGTCGAGTTTTCTTTGATTGAAACAATATTCTGCAACAGGCTACTGGTCTCAAACTATTGTCCTACTAATATCCTGACACCCTTCCGAAAATTTTTGATTAATAATATACTCTCTTTTAATTAGTCCCCAAAACAGTACTTTTAAAATCTAATCCAATGGGAGTCAATTCATCAGTTTTGTGCCAAAAATCAAATTACTGTCCTCCTTCACCCTCCTTACTTGCCAAACCTGGCTCCAAAGAAAGACCAATAATGTATAAAATTAATAATAAACTCAAACTTAAAAAAAAATTCGGTTATTTTCTGAACAGACATCGTATGGTATATGATTAAATGTACATATTGATTTTTATGTTTAAACAAGAGATATTTTTTTCAAGTTGTATATTTTTGAGAATTTTTATTTAGGTCTTTGAAAAATTTGAACTCTGTTCACCAAAGCGAGATTTAAAAATGATTTGAATTTGTGACACTTCCCGATAACACAAATCTTGCATTTTTTTTTTGTAAACATAATTAAATAATAATTCTTAGAACAATATCTAAATCTAAACAATTTTTATCAAAGAATGCCGGAATTTCTTGATTTGGCAAATCAAAGGTTCCATGATAATTTCTTATTATCATTGTATTTAGATTTTTATTTTGTAAATAACCGACTGATATAACTGACACACTGGCTGATATAAATATGTATACTGTATCTCTAATTCTGGGGCTACACTTAGAGTAGTTTCAAAATCTCATGAGCCGCGAAATGCGCGAAAGGCATATTCGCATAATTCTTCTAATAAGCACGTTGTGAAAACATTGACTCATAATTAGATCACGTGTCTTATTACAACCAGAAATGAACTAAGGCGCTCGGGCATCAATAAAATCAACTGGCGAACGTTCGTTATATATATTTGTATTGCTTAAATTAAAATAATAAAGAATAGGGCATTTTATTATGATATTTGTAATTTTGTAATCGGATCAAAGGCTTGTTTACGCTACCAGAGCTCGAGATAGACTGTGAATAATAGATGTAATGTTTTTAGGACGTAGAATAATTTAGGCGACGGTCGGAATTATGTTACTGCGCATATGAATGTCAAAGCTCATAAAATTTTGAAGCAACTCTACGTCTATTGCCGTTAATTATCGCCCTATCTTGCATTAAACGTAGCTGTAACCACGACTTTATAATTAAGCCGCTAATTTATCCATTGTCATTAATAATAGCATGCTTCGAGCATGGTTTAATGCGGTTAATGCAAAAATGGAGTGATCTAACGAAAAAATGATATAGTTCTTAGAACTGTTTCAAACGGATCCTAGACAAAAAACATAAACTAATAATTGACGCTCATATAATACAATTGTAAAGCTTCCTCAATCTCGTTAACACGTTAACGTAAGTGTGGCTCCAGCATAAGAGACTACATATTTTTTAAATAATGTTAATAATTGATCTTCTTACAGAAAATACTACATTTTAAAATAATTTCTAGTAGAAAAACGTATGGATTTACTGTACCGTATTATGCGTTGGATACGTAACGCCAATTTTTTTTCTGTGCAATATTGTCCAAATCAACTCGAAGATTGTACTTTGATCCTTTTCTGAATTATTTTTAATTCGTTTTTGCTCTTTTATAAAATTGTTAAATTTATAAAAGTATGTGTTTTCTACGGGCATTTAAATATTTTATTACTATTACTAATATACAGGGTGTTAACTAAGTACATAGGTAAACTTTAAGGGGTGATTCTTTGAGTGATTTTAAGGTAAAAATATTTTATAAACATGGATCCGCAAATCGATACTTTCCGAGAAGTCAAAACTTAGGTTAATGATTAATGGTAAAAATTCGCTGAATTCGGATATCCCTAAATACGTTTACTAGTGGCGAAAACCCTAGAAATTCGACGACATGGTTTCACAATAATTTCAAATAATAGCTGCTCCTTAAGGTGTTCATTTTCAATTTATTATTTTTTTTTCAACTTTCATTAACCAAGCACTTCATTACAATTTACAACTTTAGTACTACTCGTTTCTCAAAAAGTTCATATGATTATACTTTTTTTTTGAGAAACGAGTAGTTCTGGATTTATGTTATATCCTATTGTATCCTAATCCAGTGGATTTTTATCTTTAATTTTAGGTAAATCGTTAGTCTAAGTCTCATGAAATATTCTCAGAGATATTTTACAAATCAAGTTTTTTATATTTCATCAACCTGTCTCGAAAATCACTGATTTATGGTCCCTTGTTTATATGGGTATAAACTTTGTTTCTTTAAAATCACTCAAAGCACAGCACCTTTGTCCGCGTACTTAATTAACATCCTGGATTGTATTTCAAACATTATGTGCAAAGCATAAAGATATAGAGGTATATAAAAAGTACTTAAATAGTGTGTTTGTTAGTTTAATATTGGATCAAATGTACTTGTACTTAAAGCGAGTTTTCTCTGGTCTTTAAATAAAAGTTCTAAAGTTCTCCTCTCATTTTTTTCAAGATAATTTAAATCCGTTTTTTGTAGTAAATCAATAAAAACTTGCAGCAGTGAACAGAATTTGCACTTTTAATTATCTTCTTAATTAAAGCAAATAAAATTGAGACGAGCAGTGGTAAATGAAAGGAGGAAAATACCTACTGCTAAAACGTGGAGCTTTAATAATTTGCGAGTTAAAATTTCTAATGTATAGAACCATCTCATTAACATAGGATAATGAATATTCTATCGGCAAACTGCTGCAGGTGATTCTCTTATAAAGAAATAAGTTAATATAAAGGTATGTGCAAAGATGTTTCGTTTTTGAAATACAGGGTTCTACTATTCATCAAAATTTAACTTAAAGCGTAACACATATACCTAATATATCATTGTAAAAAATCTATCTACCAAGTAACTTGTAAACAAACGAAAATAAGTGAAAAAATCAAAGAATTTACGTGTGTCGTATAAATCTTTTTTATTCTTGCACAGGAATCACCTATATTATTTTGTTGGTGAAATATTTTGAAGTACCTATATGTATATTGACTATGTTAAAATTTTCAAAAAACTAAATATATCCCTAAAGAAAAGAGCCTTGCCATGTAAATATTATTTTTTTAGATGATAATTACATGTTACTTAAAATCGCATATTAACAGAAAATTCTTATAATTTTTTTTTTTGTGAAACCATTTGAAGCTTTTTCCGACATAAGTGTGTAAATGTAATATTTTTCAATTCTTAAAAAATTAACAATAATCAAAACTGTTAAAGTTTATTGAGAACTTCTGGAAGTAAATAGTTGTGGTCACAGATGGTTGTGGTCTCCTTTTTTGTCTCAATTTTCACAGTGATCAAATAATTGATAATTAAATTTGTTAATGTCATCAATTCTACTGTACGTCTTTATCAACTGTGATTTGGGTAAACACTTGTAAACAGAACCAACCAAACTGTCGATAGGCTCAGCGGTCCCAAACCGTTTTTTTTTCAGATTGTTGTGATAGATTAAAAAAAATTACCTGTTGGTTCGTGGAAGCTTTAAGACTGAAATAATCCAGGGAAAATTCTTCCCAAGCTATGACAGACGACACCATGAAAGAAAATTAAAGGTACTTACGGTTGTTTTGGTAGGGATCCTAGTTCTTCAGCTAAAACTCTTCCAAGGTCTGGATAACCCTGAAGAGCGAATTTTCCAGCCTCTGAAATCAGTGGAGTATCTGTAACACCAGGACACATAGTTCCAAATTTGATTCCAGTCAGGTTGTAATAGTAAGGGGTTCCAAACGATCTGTCCAATCCAACAACGAAGTGTTTCGTTCCGACGTAAATTGGACATCCTGCCAGTTCTTGAAGACCTAGAATTGAAGCGATGTTCACTATGACTCCTCCTTTTCCTCCATTATTTTTGCCCATGTATTTGATTCCCAATAGAGATCCCTGAGCAACGGCATTCTGAAATATAATTTCATTAAAATATCATCCAACTTTTTTTACAATTTGTACTCTATATTTTACAATAACATGCTTTTTAAACTCTACTAATCTAACTAACATGATACAATGAAACTATTTATTTGGACATTACATTTAAAATTTACTTACGCAATTGATTGCTATTTCCAGCTCCCAATGGGCATCATTCATAATCCCTGCATTGTTTATCACAATATCTAAAGTGCCAAAGGTGGAGATTGCAAGTTTAAATGCAGCTGTAAGATGAAGGAGGTATTATATGTCAAGTCCCTTTGAAAACTGAATATAAGACAACACATGAGACATAAAATTAATGCATTTGTATAGGATATCCTAGTTTTAATCCATCGGACTTCGAGAGCAGATAGAACAAGAAAAAATAATGGCTTTGTCTTATTTATTTTCATATATGAACCATTCTTGAGATACGGGGTGTTAAATGTTCCCCAAAAATGCATTTACTGTGAAAATGTCTGAAATAATACAGATATTTGAACTAAACTTATGAACATATAAACTGATAGATTAAAGGTGGGATATTCTGTACACTACACAAGAAGATGTAAAATATAAATTTTAAATGAAACATTTTGTACACACATGTACAAAAGTTTATCAAGGAATGTATTTGTTCATGAACTATAAAACTATTTAAATAACAGCCGAGTTATAAATTATGTTTTGCGTATTTTTTAAATTTGATAACGCTGTATTTGCAACATAATATCTTATTTCTTACACGTTATTGTTAAAGTATTAAGCTAATTCTATTTTTATTAGTAGAGATCAAAATAAAAAAGTTCTTCACAAACAACCTATTTTGAGAAAAAGGCAGTTTATACGGAATTTTATATTCAAAATTAAGGCACACAAAATACAAAAAAATATATACAGATTACTAATAATTCAGTCAGTTACGCATCTTTCGGTTATTTATAGTAGTGTTACTGGTGAATAATTATGTAATATTTTATGTACATCATACGTGAATAATACAAGTTATAAAATGGCGGAGCAAGACGCAACTCATATTTATAGTAACTAATATCCAGACGTTTACTATACGCTAGATCATATGTTTTAGACAGCGCATTTTAGATATTGGTAGTGTTATTCCTCGCCGTGAACGAAAACAACAACTTCCTGTGTGGGGAGAAGAATAGAAGAATATATACTATTATAAATATTGTCGACGAGAATTCCGATCCCTAAGCATATCCGATAAGCATAAGAATTGGTGTATCTAAAGCAATAATATATAAAATGCTTAAATAATAATTATTGTACCTTAATTACGTTCAATGAATGAGTTGACTGTGGCAGATTTGCCTGACAGAATTTCTGTATGTGGTTCTTGGAAACAAGTTGCAATAATTTTCTCGACAAGATTCTAGTTCTCTTCTTTCCAAGGAAGCGATTTTTTAATTTTCACAATAGTCATCGCTAACGAACTCAAAATTTCCTATTAATTTAGGTGATGGTCTAGCAGGAGATTAGTTAATTAGACCATATATTATTTTGAGAAGACTAACGGAGCGGCATTTTTGGACTTTTTAATTATTACGTTGACGGTTCTATTGGACGATGTTTTATGTGGCATTTACACGACATATGTGTATTGTTTCAAGGTGTTATCCAAACAGTGTATTTGGGGACCGTTAGATTGAAAGATATGGACCACGTGGATACTTATTCTAGCTGTAAAACTAATAGATATAACAAATATGTTCATGTTATTACGAATAGCGCTACGTAGTTTATTTCGATTTAATGAAAACACACATGCGTGACATATTAAATTATTTAATTAATGTTGCAAAGAGTTAACGAAATTAAATTTTTGAAACTTAGTCACTATACATTATTTAATACAATTCAGCATTTTAAAGACTGTTTCCTCGTGGTTTCCTCGTAAAAGGTAATTTGAATTAGCTTAACGCTTCCAAAATAACGTAAAAATAGAAGACTTTGTCATATGAAAATAATGATCGTACAATGTAAATCATAATATATTACTATAATTCTTAGAAATACTTCTATTATCATTATTAGCAAACATATCCACATATCTGTCTGCTATGTAATTATCTCTTCTTATATTTTGGGTAAAAGTATTTTGAATCAATGGTTAGCAATTAAGTGGTAATCACTTTGTGGTTAATTTGTTAAAATAACATAAAGCAAGTAATTTTAAACCATTTTAAACTAGATTTTATTATAATGTACAACCAATACCAACCATTATAAAAATTATTAAAAGTATTTCAAAATTGTGAGAACTACCATCATTATGAAAATATAATATTGTTATTCTGTTGATTAGGTAATGTAATAAAACTTTAATATTTTCTTTTTAAAAACTTTTCTCAAAATATGAAGAAAACTGTTCTTCAAAAAAATGGCATAATCATATTTATTTTACAGGAAAGTCAAAATGCAATTTGGTAGAGAAGTCTAACTGAAAAAAGAACAAAAAATAGTACTTGTATTTAACTAAACCATAACATATAACTAAAATAGGACTAATTCTTAATGGTTTTTATTGCAAATCTGAATCCAAAATAATAAAATAAGTCATAGAATTCATTTTAATTAAAATGTCCTATCCTAAGTCTAAAAAATTATTTAAAGGTCTCACAAACTTACCCTCGAGTTGATCAAATTTGGTAACATCAGTCTTTATGAATACTGCCTTATTTGCTCCAAATTCCGTATTAAGTGTATTTATAGCTTGATTTCCATTGTCCGCATTTAAGTCTGCGATAACAACTCCCTAAAATATAAAAATAAAAAAATAAAGCACGAGCCCTAAGAATAAATTGGTTTGGAATTGTCATCTATTTAAAAAAATATATAATGTATTAAATTTTATATATTACATAACTGAAAAATATTTAATTTGTAAATATTTTTTGCACATTTTATCTCATTTGCTTAAATCTTTATTCTGATAAAATATGAATGTAAAAAATTGTAAACAAGGTAATACGTTATGTCTAGCCATCAAACCTATTTAAGATGATAAACTTTTAGATTTTTGTAATGAAACTATTCTGTAACCGTTACAACCAGTGAGTACCTAAATGCACATAAATATTTTTTATAATTGGATACAGTAAAATTTGGAAAAATTGGGAATTGATATTAACAACTAATGAGTTCTACTCACCGCAAGTCCATTTTTCAGCAATTCTACAGAATAAGTATAACCTATACCAGCTGCCCCTCCAGTAATAAGGGCAATTTTTCCTTTGATATCGTAGGACATTGTTAAAGTTGAGTTTGTGTACCAAATTCAGTTGACACAGCTTCTAACGGACTGAAAGGCAATACCGTGGTGCTAGGTTTATATAGTTTAAGTAACGTGATAAGATAAAAATGTAACACATATTTGTTAATCTGTGGAGCAAACATAGCGGCATGTTTGTAAAACTTTTTTAATAAATCGTCAGCTAATGTTTGTAAACAATTTTTTGGACAACTTGTTTTTAAGTTGTCATATTTTAATAAATTAAATTTGTTATGTAGAGGTAAATATTTCTAATTCAGTTCTTGTAAAATTATATAATAAATATTTCGTCTAATATCTTTGAAAGTATTGAAAATTATTTTAAGACATTTGAGGGGAAAGAAATATTGCAAATTTTATACCTACTGTAACATAAACAAATCATTGGCGGAGATATTTAAAAAATGTAGTTTATTGTAATGATGTTAAATATGCTATATTTAGGAAATGGTGTGGCATTTTGGGATATATCAATGGTGTTCATTTTAATTTGTATCTCCCCTTAAAAAGTATAGGCAGAAATATATACCTGCGTTTATTAAAATTTTTTAAAATGAAGTAAATGCCTATGATATTCGATCGATTACACTGAAATTTTTTGTAATTATTTATTTGTAGGATTTTTATTCTTTTTCACCAATTTTATATTTTTGACAAATAATTATCTACTTTTTCAATACCAAACACTTCTGCATAGGCAAAAATTTCAAAGTCTCAGAAACACCCAAAAATAAATTAATGAAAAATATTTTGCTCAGATTGTATAATAAGTAACAATTAACATTTTTGAAAAGTCCATTGCTGAAAAGGCACCTTGATAATACAGTGTCCGATTTAAAACAAATAAGTGTTTTAAATAAATGTTCTACCAAATCAGTTTCTTGACTAAGATGAATTTTGCGTGCAATAAACTTTGAAAGCTTCCCTCTTCGATTTTGTACATCTTGCATTCTAAGACGCAACGAATAAATTTTACCTATTATAAATCCCCACTATTACTATTTTGGACCGGAAACTGTGGTATATATGGCATCCGTCTTTTCATAATGTTGGAACATTAAGAAAATATGGAACATGAAAAATCTTAAATATTTCACAAACTCAAAGAAATAGACCTTAATAAAATCGAAAGAAAGTTAAATTTTACATGTGATTGTTCCAAATTTAACATAACACTCCATTAAAAAAATTTATGATCCAAAACTTCGAACTTTTTCAGTTTGAAATATATAAACAGTCCAATTAAACAGGCCTTTAACACGCAGTTTTGGTCAACTTGCCTGAATTTTTAATACTATAAGTTAGTTGACAGTATTTTTTTTTACTTCAGGCCAGGGGTAAAGAAAAGTGTTTTTTGAAGATAGCGCAAAAGGGGTAAGAGTTAGGAAAAAGTTTCTTATATAAGTTATAGACTATAGAGCATATAATTTTACATAAAAATTGTCTATTGGCTTTTTCTTCTACTATAAAAATTAACAGAGTTAGGGAGGTTAGAAGTTAAGGGATGATTTGAGAAATTTCAAAATCATTGCAAGCAGAAAAATGAATGAATTTCAAAAAGTTTTTTGTTTCAATTTATTCTAAAGAAGATGAACCTTCATTTCAGAGAAATAGATATTATATATTTTTAGTTTTAATAAAAAAAGTTAAGTGGGTATTAACCATTTATATTTTTTAATAATTTAACAACATTAAAATAATCATTTTTATATCATTCGATTCATTATTTAAGACAACGAAATGTTTTGGAATTTTTTTCATCCTTGATTTTCAGGTAGATATATATTTGTTTACCTTTTGAATTGTATTTAGTTCCTTCGATATTTCCACGACAAATCTAAACAATTACATTAGCTATTGTCTGTCGTACTCATAGGTACCGAAAAGAATTGTTTTAAAATATTTAACTATGTAAGTTTATGTTAATTACAAAGAAAAATAACTTATTCAGCTGTAACAAAAATCTTACGATCGAATTTATTAAAAATAAATGAGATTAAACTGTACATGCATTTATTACAATGGAAATATAAAACTACTATAACTCATTGAAATATAAATGTGACGCATGCGCATTTACAAGGACTGTAATGTGTGCGACAAACATAATAATCTATCTTTGTCATAATCATACGAATTATCCAGGACAGTCATATTTATGTAAAATTTTGTGATCTGTAACTTTTATAAGAAACATTTTTTTCTAGTTCTTACCCAGTTTGAGTTATCTCGAATAACACTATTTTATTTTTTTTTACCCCTTATATATTACCTGAGCTGTCTGTCCTAAATGGAAAATTTTGTATGTAACTAACTGCGATTTACATTTTGCCGCAACAAACCTTAAAAACAAACTTACTACATAATTTCTGTACCACAAGAATCAATTAAATAGTTTCTTTTTAACGTTTAATAATAAAAAAGCATGGTTTACAGTTTCCCTTTCCATGCTATTACTTTTTACAGTAAGTAGTTACTAAGAGTTGTTACACATAACCTTTTTCCATTGGCAGGACTAATAAACTATCAACTTAGAAGAATTACAAACATCCCTAATTTGAACTGGCACTCTTGTTAATTCTCCCCATACTTTTCCTGTACAGGCCACAGTAAAACGGTTAAAGCCTATTAAGCTTTGTATGTGAGGTCTATTTCCCTATTCCTTAAATATTATGTGGTACAATTTGTTTTACAAACTTATTAAAAGTTTTCTTGCCTTCAAGATTAAATGGGTCAAATAAATCAATATTTTTAGGAACCTAGTTGTAGTCAAATAACTAATAAATACCTACCTGGTAGGTACTTACAGCGTTATCTAAGCAGGTAAGGTCTTTTTATGACTTCGTATACTATATATAGTACAAAGTTGGTTGTTACTTTTAAAGTAAATGCCAACTGATGCATTTGGGAAAGTATTTTGTGAATACATTTTCATATATTTAGTTCTAAGGAAAAATTGAAAATATGAATCCATTAATAAACAAATGAAATGAGAATTAGAGGATTTATAACCCGATTCTTAAACTTAGGCAACTGTATACAAACATTTAAAAAACTTACCTTTTCTTCTACATAAAATGGAACATACCTACACTTACAATTAAGTAAATAAATATGTGTACTACTGTTATGTACTACTTACCGAGTCAAATCACCGGCACCGACTAATCATTTTCAGCCTACTGCCTACTTCACTGTCTTAAGGCACCTGGGTATTCTGAAAGTTACATTGCTTTAAAATGCGCAGAACTCAATGCGCAGTGCCGCATATTCCAAACCGCCTTAAAGTCGTGTGTTTGTTTCGGTTATAACCAGAAAAATGAATGCTTCTTAGGGAAACAAAATGTGGCTACTTCATTTGATAACTACTCTTAAAGGAAATACAGCAATACAAATACAATGTATAAGAGCCAGTGGTGGTATAAAGTAGGAGCGGAAGTGATTAGTAATAACATTAGACACATTAATATTTATTTGCTTAAATCATATAAATACAAGTTAGAATACAGTGTCTAAAGATTCTTATTTACAATTAAAGTGGGATACAAATAGATATATAAAACATGTATTAAAATCCCTAAGTTTAGGTTTGTATAAGAAGCTGTTTCTACCTAACTTTCTTGCAAAATCTGAACTTTGTAAAGATAGTACCGATTGCCACCTATAAATTGAATATAACAAGATAAATTATTCATTTACCGATATTTAATTATGTTATACAAGGTGTTTCAGAAAGGCCCCCCATAAGTACAGAGGGTGATAGTACTACAAAAAATAATAATTTTTTGTCTTATGAACTATATTGTTTTCAAGATACAGAGCGAGAAAATAAAAAATTTTAAGTGGAATTTTTACGAAAATTTCCAAACGGCGCGAAATATTTTTATGAAATTTGGTATTCCGGGTTTTTTACGGATGCCAAATATGCTGGTCTAATTATTTTTTAAATATTTTATAGAGGGCGCTAGTTATGCTACATTCCTATTTCATTCTAAATTCTAATTTTTTTAAGGTTAGGTTTTTTACCATTCGAGCTCCAATTTATAATGTACAATTATATTTTTTTAAAATTATGTACTCTTGTTAGAACTTCCTAGTGTGGACGGTTTTCGAGAAAAAAGGCTTTTAATTGAACTTACAATATTACGGTGTATAAAATAAGTGACTTTTCTCAAAGCAGGCTTATGTTAAGTCTTATTGATGGATGTCTCATAAACAACGCATACATTCTTAGTAATATTTTAAACTAACCTTATATCAAAATTTTTGTGACTGTAATTAGTCATTACTAACTACAGTCACTAACAATCACTAAAATTTTGATATAAGGTTAATTGAAATTTTATTACATTTTTTGTAAGCATTCATTACCCGCAATAGTGTACTCCTCAGCCCGAACCAGACATTTTGTCCCGAAAAATTCATCTTCAATATAATCGTTCCAAAATCTATTTTTTTAGATTTCTATGTTTATTGAATTATCGCACACTAGTATCGTTAGACCCTGTAAAATCCACCTAGTTATTTAAACTATTACCATCACACGTTACAATAAAACATTATTGTGTTTCAATCTCCATCACATAATTCGATAAGTTGTTGCGTCAAAATTAAAACATTATTATAATTTTAATTTCACTATGATAAATTAATTCTTAAAAATGCATATGAGCAATCAAAACTCCAAATGAATATTATACTTAAAAATTACAGTAAATGTTCAAAAACGTTTCCGTTTTGGAATGATTAAAAATGAAAATAAGCGTAATATTATCGGAATTTATTATACCTATAACTGCAACTGTGAAAGAGCATGTCAGATGTATTTGTATGAATATACTGAAAAAAAGTTAGATACAAATTCGTTTGAATTTTGAGTAGGTACTCGAGAACCCTAGAAATATGAACACGGGATTAAAACTCTAATAATGTTTTATTGTAACGTGTGATGGTAACATTTAAATAACTAGGTGGATTTCACAAGGTCTAATTACAGTTAAGAGTGTACGATAATTCAATAAACATAGAAATCTAAATAAAAAATTAGATTTTGGAACGAATACAATGAAGGTGAATTTTTCGAGACAAAACGTTGCCATGAGAAAATGTTCTTTTTTCAATATCACCTCAAACAAGGCTGAAATGAAACAAAATCGGATTTCTAATATTTCGCTTTTTTTCAAATATTTCGAAAAGTAATTATATTAGCCTTGATTTTTTAAAGGTATAATGTTGGTCCCATGATTATGCAACATTACCCCCATTTAAGCTACTTCGTATCCCTAACCGTTTCCGAGCTCCCTATACATAGTAAGAAGCGAATTTGTAACAGCCTGTATTTAACGCTTACATTTGTTAAAAATATAAATTTCTTAACTAAAATAATTGTTACTAATTTTCTAAAACTTTTTTATGATTACGTTTATGATATGATACAAATTTCAACAATTGATTTAATAATCCTTCACAGGATTCCAAAATAAATGAAAACTTCTTAACAGACTAACAGCTTTATTATTTTTTTAAATAATTAATGAAAATACTAAAATACCAGTGATTTTAATTTTTTGAAATAAAAATTTTAAGTATAATAAAATATTTCAATATTACTAAAGTTACGATTGTTTTCAGTATTGAATTCTAAAGTAAATGCATATTCATCACGTTCTCAAAAGATAAGAATTTGTGGAAAACATTATATTAATTTTAGCAATATTTAAAGTTAAATGCTCTGTTATACTGTACTAAAGTTCCTCTCGTTTCGACATATTCGACTTTCTGAAATAGTTACAATTATTCCAAAAATACAGAAAAGGGATTATTAACTTTAGACATTTTAAATCTGTAGCAAACTTTTGTATCAAGTAAATTTCAATCATATCAGATATGTTCAGAAGCAGAATAGGTAATGTAATCTATGTAAATGGAAGTAATATTGTGTCCATACAATCTTTTATATCAATACATTTATATCTACTTCCTAATTTCGTTTCCATACCTCCTTCTAAAAATAAACTTATTTTATATACTTATTTAATTTTGATGGTCAAGATAAGAGAGATAATGTTTTACGCTTGGTCCATTCTTATCTATTGGATTTATAACTCTGTAAGAATAGCAGAAATAGAATATCATTTATTTTTATTTTTCTTAAATAGTCTCGAGTCTGCGTTGGTATTGCTTTCGTATCTCGGACGAGCACGTGTACAGAAATCTTTCCTCGATTTTCATTAAAGTGACATAATCCGCTTATATTCGTTGGTTCCATAGCAGCTATTAAGATAATTTTAGCGGTACCCAATATATTTTTTTCAATAGTCAACATGTTTTGATTAAATCTAAAAATATAAATACAAAATAGAGATTCCGTTTGACGTCGCCTTTTCTATTTGCGTACTACTATTAGATATTTCCACTTCTACCGTGAATACTTTTCCTTTTTTTTAATTTTAAAAAATTATTTGTGGAGAATTTTGGCGACACTTAGTATTTTTTACATAAGTCAACATGTTTTTATCAATTCTAAAAATATAAATACAGAATAGAGATTCCGTTGACGTGGACTTTGCTATTTCGATAACTACTATTTTGATTCTTGTCGTGGATCCCATAATTTTTTTCATTTTTTAAATTCTTGTCTGGTGTGGTAAAACTAAGAAAGTAAAATTAGATTTAACCTGACGATTCCAAAAAGGTTATTTATGATAAAATAATCTGTAAAATAATGCTATGTGCTTACACAGGCCGACAAAATTTGGCCGACCCTCTAACCCAGAAACCAGAATGTACTTTTCCGAAAGATTTTGGTATCTGAATTCGAATCCGAGGTCCAAATTCCTGCATTAGCTCTGGTTTTCGAGATTTCCTAACCTAAAAGTGACAAAATCACGATTTTCTTACATATTTGAGGATATGTTAGTTGGATAGGTAAATAATTTTTTTTGCCCAAACCATCAATGGGGTCTTAAAGTACTATACTTAGTCTTTAAAACGCACTTGGATTTATCCCGATATCATTTTTCGTCTTTGAGAAATCGTGTGTTGAAATTTAGTTGTTATCATTATTGATTATTGAATGTACCAACAACACAGCACCACAAACCTAAATTCATCGGCACCCGGAAGTAGTCACATATTTTTAGGGTCGCTGATCATGAACCTCTACTCCAAAATACTCTATCACATCAAATTTTGCAATAAACATAAAAAATGTCTAAAAACTCAATACATGACCGATATTTTATGCATAATATCAATCTGGAAATACATTTACACGCAAAAGAGGCTAATACTCCCAATCCTAACTCATAAACCCTAAGTTCAAAAACCCTAAGCCCATAAACCCATAAGCTCATAAACCCTTAATCCATAAACTCCAAACTCATAAACTATAAACTTATAAACCCACAAACATGTAAACATTGTAGACCCTTAACTCAGAAACCCACAAGTCTATAAACCCACAAACCTCAAACACATAAGTATTTTGGAGTTTAGATTCGTGAGCAGTGTCCTCAAAAAATGTAAGGTACCTAATTCCAGGTGCCGATGAATTTAGGTTTGTGTGCTGTGTTGTCAGTATATTCAAAAATAGAGAAATAAATCAAACTACTAAATTTCAACATGCGATTTCTCAAAGACGAAAAATGATATCGGGATAAATTCAAGTGCGTTTGAAAGAGTTAGTAACGTACTTTAAGATCCCATTAATGGTTTCACCAAAAAATTTACCTTTCCATGTAATATAATCTCAAATATGTTAAAAATCGCGATTTTCGCACTTTTAAGTCTCGAAAAACAGAGCCCATTGAGAAAATTGGATCTCGGATTTGAATTCAGTGCATCAAAATCTTTTGTGAAAGTATATTTGTGTTATTGAGTTAAAATCTCGTCGGCAAATATCTCCTGGATATACCTGTAGCCTCTTACAATCCTTTGATGGAGATACAGACATCTACGTTACAGATCTGCTACAGCTTGGCTGAATACCTACATTAATACCGTCTAACTCTAATCGCGCCTTTGACATCTTGACAATTGCAGCTCCTATTACTGCGTTACTATATTTTAGAATTTTACTTTAGGTACCTTCCTAAAAATTGTCTTAATGGTAAGTCATGTAAGTCCCGCTCACAAAAAGAAAACAAATGAAAACTAGAAATAATAAGCCATGGATTGCAAATGAAATACTTTTGTTGGGAAATATGGTTAAAGAAATG